CAACGCGCGACGTTAAAAGTTAAATAAACTTAAAATGTAAGGTCAAGTTACAGTAAAAGGGCTACGGCAAATAAAATCAGCGAAAAACGTTCTTAAATTTGTCTTAAAATCACCAAAGCTCCAATTTCCAATCCATAGATTTTCTTAAAAAAATATATGCTGTTGATACATAAATTTCCGTTTTAATGATGTAAAATAATAAGAGGATCACCGACTTCGTTTTCACGGTATATATTTAATTCAAAGTGTTGTTCTAGAATAATTTAATTTTGGATGCAACACGTCTTCTGATTGGCTGAAAGTATTATGTCACTCAGCTCATAGACATAATTTTGTCACGTGACCGTGACATCATCAACGGTTTTTTCATGATTTACTCCTTAAAAATGGAATTTAAAATTAAATTATAAGGAATGACTGAAATATTTCTTCTGTCTATTCGAAATAACCTCAAAAATGTGGTGCACACTTTTAGATAACACGCTACGCGGGTTTTTCAGTGTGCACCACAATTTTGATATTATTTCTTCAAAGACAGAAAAAATATAACAGTCATTTCTTAAAGAAAAAATAACACAACACGTCGAAATAAGCGTAACATCATCGCGTTGTAAGACATAAAAAGTGGATTTTAAAGTATTTTAGTACCAACAAGGTTATACAGATTGCTTAATTCACCAACCCCATGAAAAATCTACACAAATGCTAAAATATAAAACAGATGTATATTCAACTGTCTGGCTTGCCTGATGCCAGTTCTGTAGCTTCAGTTTTGAAAAAAGTCGGAAATTTCGGATTAACCGATTTTTCATCCTCAAGTCTTATCATTTTTGTCCTTTTGAAATATAAAAAAAATATCATTTTGACTTGAACATTAGGCTTTTTGCATGCAACAATGTTCTTGATATCTTATCAACGCCAGAGATCTACCATTTTATTGTACAAAAAAATAATGGCTATGGAAAATATTACTCCTTCTTCTTGCAAATTGAATTTAAAAAAAACACATGAATTTGACAAAAGACGGTTAAAATCACACATATAGACCCTGTGTTGGTTCAAATTAATTAGCTAGCTATAAAACCAGGTTTAATCCAACATTTTCTACATAAGGAAATGCCTGTACCAAGTCAGGAATATGACAGTTGTTTTCCATTCGTTTGATGTGTTTGAGCTTTTGATTTTGCCATTTGATAAAGGACTTTCCATTTTGAATTTTCCTTGGACTTTGGTAATTTTGGTTATTTTACTTTTTGCATCCATATCAAACACATATAACGTTTATATTACTCTAGATTGTTCAAAGCTATTTTCGAAGCCATAAAACTTGAAAAGTAGAAATGTTTTCAAATTTTGTCACTTTTCCCCTTCTGAAATCAAAATATTGACTACACTTCATTTAGTGGAAAAGTATTTGACATGTTGTGCATGAACCCTTAGGATAAAAAAATATACAAGTTTTACTGATAAATGCTTAAAAATCACACAACAATTTTGTAACTTTCAGATTTTTTTTTCAAATTTTGTCATTCTTCGTTTAAACTGAAAATGCTATGCTTACCTAAAAACTAATAATTTCTTCAGCGAAAATATGTATTTGGCATCTTCAGAGCCTAAGATATAAATTTTTTGTCAATCAAAATCTTATTGAAAAGGAAATCTTTACCTCTACTTCCATGCAAATTTGAGCAAAAATGCATACTTTTTACTGATGATGGCTTGAACTCATAAAACTGATATTAATTTTGTTCAAATTTCTTTCAATTATAATAAATATTTATATTCAAAGATTCCGAGATTGTATAAAGCCTTTTCTGTAACGGCAGAATTTAAAAACAACCCGACAATTACAGATTTTCAAAATATTCAGATTATCCTAAAATTTAGACTTTTTCACTTTTCTGAACACTACATATTTGTTAACACAGAATTTAATGTTATCAATAAATCAGTAATGTATTGGAGTTCTATAAAACAAAAATCTTTGATTGATTCTGCAGCATAAATCACAACAGAATTGATAAAAAAAACCTTTCTCAAAAGTTTGATTTATGCATACATGTATATTTTTAGGGTGGGGTATTATATTCCATTAATCTGCGCTTTTATTAAGAGAATTGGTCAAAGTTCTGTCCTAATTTGAAAGCAAATACATTACCTGTATTCATTGATTCCATCAAATTCTATGTTTACTTAAGTATTCACTTCCTATAAAGGTAAAACAAAAACGGGAAATAATCAGGGGAAATGAAAATCTGAAAAGGTCTGTTTTCTTAACCGTGAAAATACAAAAATGTCTTTTGACAATCTGTATTGCTTAGAATATGAGTATTTGATATAAATGCAAGTAGTTTGACCAAATTATTGTTCAGCTAAGTAAATTTAAGTCTTGATTAGTCACATTTTTATATTTTTGCTCAAATTTTTAAGGGTAGGGGTGATTGTTTTGCTTTTCCATTAGATCTAGGATATAAAAGACGTAAAATACATTGTGGCATACATAAAAGCCAATAGCTTTAAAGTTAACAAATGCATTTTGATATTAAATGGATATTTATGACAATTTTTTAATCAGAAAAATCTGCAAATCCGAAATTATTCTTTTTTCATTTCTCTGTATACAAAATTGGTTTTAAACAATCAAGGTTGCTTAAAATATATGTACTTGACATAAATATAATTCTTTGGGACAAAATTATAATTGTTTCCTTGAGTATAATAAGCCTTTGTTCGATGTTTTGGGGTCAAATTTTTAAAATCTTTAGGAATTTTGGGTCCTCAATGCTCTTCAACTTCGTACTTTATTTAGCCTTTCTAACTTTTTTGATTCGAGCGTCTTTTGTAGACGAAACGCGCGTCTGACCTACACAATTTTAATCCTGGTATCTATAGTGAGTTTATTTGCATGGGTAGGGTTTATTTTCGAATTTAATCAGATCAGATAACAGATCGTTGGGGATCATAACATATCTGTCCCATTCCTCCATCATGGAATGCCAAGATTTTTATATAACGTATACTGATTTTAAAACAATAAATATGACCGAATTTAAGAAGATCTGAAAATCCCAAATTGTCTCTTTTCCCCCAAACTGGCGTTACACAAATGATATTAATGTAGCCAAATGGTTTCCAAATATATATGTTGTACATAGTTACTCCAACTTCGGCCAGGTTATACTTCGGTTAAAAGTATTCAAGTTGTTCATTTGTGAATATACTCAATTTCTAGTTCAAATTATTGGGAGGTTATGGTATTGTTTTCAATATTTGTAGTACTTATCCTATTGAAAATACCAATGTGTGTCTGGTGTGTATTACGAGAGCTTAAGCATTCTTTTTTTTTTAAATTGAGATACATTCAACTGTTTTAGCAAAAGCAAATTGGTCTTCAGATGCAAAAGAAGGTGAAATCTTGACTAATCTGGAACATTAATATCCTGTTTTCCTCATATTTTGACTACAAATCGTGCTTCAAACCTGAAAGATACCCCAAATATTTCCACTACCTCTATTCTTATTAGAATATATCAAATAGTCCATTGTTTATAATATTTGTGGTGCTTGTTAACAGTTGAAAGAACCCTTTTTTGAGTTTTTTTTGTAATTTTTCATGAAGTAAGGGTATATATTTTAATTGTGAGACAAGGTGTTAACAACAAAGTTGAAAAACTTGATAATATCTTGAAAGCTTATATAGATTCAGATTCAGATTCAATATTTTATCAAAGTCTCACCACGTGTATAACATTATACAAATAACATGTTCTTTCATTTGACTATTGTTGAAAATGTACTGAACTCTTGAATATTGGTACTTAATAAAATGTGTGGTGTTTTGTGCTTTTACCATAAAGTGATAAATTGTTCTGATATCAGCTGGACTACTATTACTAGTAGGTCAAATATTCGTGGTGTATGTAATGATAGTAAGGTATACATGTCAGTCGGTGTTTCGTAAATTATACAATAGTTTGTTTTTTTTTTTTGTTGAAACCCCCGGCTAAACTTAACGTGACGAAGTGTGATTCTTCCGGTGGGAGTCCATTTCCATACTTATAGTAGGTAGTTTCACAATAACTATGAAGAGCGGTTTTGATTGCTGATAAAATAGATGTTAATAATTTGGAAAGAGGGCTATTTGGCAGACCTAGCACTGTAACGTTTTTTGGAAGGACACTTAAGTAATTTAGATATTCTGTAAAGTGAAGAAATAACCCGTCCTTCATATTCGGTGTTCACGTTTAGCTCATTGACTGCCTTAATCATCCACTGAATTCAATATCATTTCAAAGGTGTGTTTTCAATTTGTAAATTTAGGGTTACGATATTTCGGTCCCTTGGTTAACAAATTTAGCAGAAAAGTATTGTTGGCAAAGTTCAGGTCACCAGTAAAATAATAGCATGACCAACTCGTTACATTTGAATGGGAACTAGCATTAGTGCAATCAGGAGGTTTAGTATTGATATATTGAGATTTTGCAACACGTGTTTATAGTTTAATAAAATAAAAGTCGCAATATGTATGGTATAGGTATAAGAAGTATCCAACATTTTATTAAATATAGATACAATATCTTGTTTTGGGAAGGGACACCGTATGGTTAACATTACTTAATGAGACAGATGAAGGTAAATTAAGAAAACCGCTTCAGACGCTCCGATTTCATAAAGTGTTATACAAATATTTATTTATCACTGTTTACTTGCCATGAGCAAAACGACGGGTACAACTAATTCAGAAGGAGCTGCATACCCTTCCAGATCACTTAAGTTCAACCTTAGTATTGGTGGAGTTTCGTCTTGTTCAATTTTTTGTTTTCAGTATGTGTTGTGTAGACTGTTCAATTTTTTTTTATAGTCTTTCTTTGATTTTTCTTTTTTACACCTCGGTTTTTTTCGGTAATGATATATTTTTTGTTTGCGCTACTAATATTTTCTGTGTATTAAACAAAAGATAGGTATGTAGTTTTTTTTAACTTTATAACATTTATACAAACCTGCCCAGTAGCCATGTGGACTTCATACCATGTCACACCTTTCTTATGCAGTATTCCACCATGTGATTTTAAACATGCACCTTTCTTTAATACACCAACAGCGGGATTGTCACCGCCAGCTTTAAAAACAGAAATTGCGTTATATGCTAAACACAAAATTTATTGATTGATTGATTTTTGGTGTTTTAACGCCACTTTTAAGCACCGCTTTTGGGCTATTTCGTGGCGCCCAGTTTTTATTGGTGGAGGAAGCCGGAGCGCCCGGAGAAAACCACCGACCTTCGATAGGAAAACTGACAATCCTAGTCAATAAAGATTGGAGTCGAGTGCACCTGCACGAGCGGGGTTCGAACTCACAACCTCAGTGTTGACTGGTTAGTGATTACAGTAGTAACTACTTAGACCACTCGGCCACCGAGGCCCCCACAAAATATATAAAAACTCATATTTGAGCAAAAAAATGTGATATAAAGAAGATGTCAACCCTAATGAAAAGTAGTTAATTTCCATTTCTTCGCAATTTCAAACCCCTTTCGAAGGAGACTGTTAAACTTTTGACCCAACACAAAAATCATACCCCATCCCCACCACCATTCACTCACCCCGTTTAACGATAGAAGGTAAATTCACCATAAATCGGATGCCTCATTGTTTTAAAGCACCTTTATTTCTTGTTTTTCTTTAGCTTTCCTTTTCACTTATATGATATGAAAATAAGAAGAGGTGGTATAAATGCCAGTGAGACAACTCTCCACCAGAGACCTAATGACACAGAAGGTAGCAACTATAGGTCACCGTAAGGCCTTCAACAATGGGCAAACCCCATACCGCATAGTCAGCTATAAAAAGGCACCGAAATGACAAATGTAAAATAGTTCAAACGCGAAAACAAACAGCCTGATTTATGTACAAAACAATAAACGAAAAACAAATGTGATATACAGCAACAAACGACAACCACTGAATTACAGGCTTCTGACTTGGGACAGGCACATACAAAATGTGGCGGAGTTAAACATGTTTGCTGGCACCCAACCCTCCCTATAACCTGGGGCAGTATTGTAACAGCACAACATATGAATATACTATAATAAAGCCAGTTGAAAAGGGCTTAACTCATCAGATCGATACAAAGCTGAAAAACAAGTAACAAAAACACAGACTGGACGTGGTAGAAAGTAGAATAACAAAAATAACGAACTCCAAGGGAAATTCAAAACGGAAAGTCCCTTACCAAATATGGTAGAGCATTTATACATCCCAACAACAAAGAAAACACTAAGTACAGATCTGAGAGTACTCGCAGTTACTGACAGCTAGTTCAAAACCACTAACAACTAATAAAAAAAATCATGCATCCAAGACTATGTTTGCATTATATGAACTCTTACTTTCTATCTTTAATTGTATGTGTGCATGACTTGATATGTATGTTTTGTTTGTTGTGCTTTTGTTTTGTTGGTTTTAAAATGTTTGAAATTGTATTGACTTCAAACAAAGCTTTAAGTCTTGTGTCTCATTTTTGTGATTACGACCAAAATTTGTCAAAAAATACCAAACTGCAGTTATGAGATTTTTTTGGCATTTACATTTTGGAGATATTTTCAGAATTACTCCCTTATGTTGTTGCAACCTCAAAGTATGCATATGAACCTGTCACAATATGATTTTAATGAAGTTTGGAAGACTTTTTAAAAATGACTATATTTCCCATCCCGGTCGGTCCATTTTATATTAATTTTTGTCTCGCCTGCAACAAAAGTCGCAGTATGCGAGACATAGGGGTTATAATCACGGGTTGGTTAAGTTGGACATGATTGTGTTAAGTGTTTTTATAATGACAAACAATGACAAAATATAAACATTCGGATTCTTTTCTAGAGGAACTTCTGAACATGAATTCAAGCTGGTAGGTATCTTTGTTTATAGCTTATATGTTAGTGCATTAAAATTTGTATCATATAGTTAATAATTTGACACAGAATAATACTTGCGTATGTCAAATTTTAAAAGTTGCTTATTCGTTTCTTATGCATAAAAAAAAAACAATATTTGTTTACTGTCTGTTACATCACATATTTCGTTATAATATAAACCTTCCGTCAATTATTCCGAAAAATAGCTACATTGGCACACAATTTAAGATTATTGAAAATTCAGTGTCATGGTTTGGTTCAGTAGTGTCATGGTTTAGTTCATGTTCGACACGGTTCAGTTCTGTGATTCCTGTCGTGTATGATGGAAGAGTTACGATCAAAATAAACAGACATATTATACAACTATTGAAATACTGTTAAAAATAATTGTTTTCGCCGATACTTTTTTTTCTCGCGTTTAACCCGTTCTATCCTATTTCGAGGCAATATATTGTCGCCATTTTCTAATGTTGTTGGTTTGTTCCCATACGAGTAGTTCTAAGTTCTACATATTGACGTTGATCTTTTACCCGCAAAAATACATCGTTCGCGAAAATAGGTCGTCTCAGTAAATTTCAGATATTTTCATTATAAGTCTCATTATAGAACACGCATGTATAAAGAAATCACGAAGATAATATATTAATGCATTTCAATGGCAATTTTCTTTAAAAGTAGTTTTATTTGGAATCCAAAACGACATAAGAAAGCACATAGTAATATAAAAAAGTAGATGCGGTATGATTACCAATGAGATATATAACTATTCATCCAAGACCAAATGACGTAGGTGTTAGCAACTATGGGTCGCCGTACGGTCTTCAACAATTAACAAAACCTATACCTCTTAGCAAGCTATAAAAGGCTCCGACAAAATTAAATGTAAAGCAATTAAAATGAGAAAACAACGGCCTGATTTATGTTCAAAACAAAAAGCGAAAAACAAATATGATATACAGTAACAAACGACAGCCACTGCATTACAGACTCTAGACTTGGGACAGGCACATACAGAATATGGCGGCGTTAAACATATTTGCGGGCTCCCAACCCTCTCCTCGCTTTTAATAACCTGGGAAGTGGTGTAACAGCACAACAAAGAAAAACAAACAATAATAAACAGCTGCGCTATGAGCGCATGATACGCCCGTCGTCTTGTGTGTGAATTTTTATGCAATAAGCATAAATAGTTTTTGACATACAGCGTGACATGCGAAAACCCCCTTTTTTTTTTACAAAAAACTCAATATCTCTAAAATAAAATTTTGAATCAAAGCCAAAAAGTATACAGATCTTTAGATTAATATAACTAAGAAGTGTGTAAAATTTTAAGCAATAATCATAAATCGTTTTTGAGATACAGCGCGACATGTGAAAACCCCCCCTTTTTAAAAAAAAAATCAATATCTCAAAAATAAAATTTTGAATCAAAACCAAAAAGTATACAGATCTTTAGATTAATATAACTAAGAAGTGTGTAAAATTTTAAGCAATAATCATAAATCGTTTTTGAGATACGGCGCGACATGTGAAAAACCCCTCCCCCTTTTTTAACAGAATACTCAATATCTCTAAAATAAAATTTTGAATCATCACCAAAAAGTATACAGATCTTAAGATTAATATAACTAAGAAGTGTGTAAAGTTTTAAGCAATAATCATAAATTGTTTTTGAGATACGGCGCGACATGTGAAAAAAAAACACACACCTGTTTTAGTTACTAAGTCCAATAACTCAAAAAGTTTTAATCTTATTTTCACCAAAAAGTATACAGATCGTTTGACCATCATAAGAAACAACTATGTTAAGTTTCATGAAATTTGGATAAGTTATTCTCAAGTTACGGTGCGACATGTTTACGCCGGACAGACAGACGGACAGACGGACAGACAGACGGACGGACGCCGGACATTTGTATACCATAATACGTCCCGTCAAAAATTTGACGGGCGTATAAAAATCAGTTGAAAAGGACTCATCAGATCGATACAAAGTAAAATAATCAAGTAACATAAACACCAAAGACACAAAGAACCGATCTGTGAGTACTCGCACTTAATGGAAGTTCCAAGCCGATAACAACTACTGATTTTGTGGCATGGATGGGTACCCCATATCCTTTGTTTTTCTATTAATAAAAAAATCATGAATCCAAGACAAAACTTTCTTTTATTAATTTCAGAATTGCATTCTGCTGCCAATATTCATCTTCATCCATCTTATTCTCTGCAATTAAGAACGATGATTTCTTGTATAGTCGGGTCAAAAAATGTCGTAGGGTATCCGATTTCATTTAACGACATCTTGGTGTAAATGTTCTTGTACCAAACAAAATAACAAGTGTATCTTGTAATTTAAATAATTTTGTTCAATCACATTAAAGAATGATGTACCTTTTTGTTGTTTCAATGCTATAAGCGTATGGAAATTTTATAAAAAAAAATCAACAGGCTTTCTCCTTGTACGTCTGTATTTGACAATTCGGTGCTTTAAAGATAGAGGATTATTGCATGCAGTGCTATCTATGATTTCCCTAAAACAAGTGTTTAAATAAATATATTGGTTAAAACAAGTATAAAAATGCACTTAGTCCGCTCAACTTAAGTGACTCAGCACGAGGTTTTTTCGATTGTGAAGGTTGTTTAGGACTTTTTGTAGCCAATAAAAGCTAGATCATCATGTACAAACAAGGAGTAATCTATGTTTACAATTTTATGACGAAAATCTCTGTAATAAAGTCTGTGGATTTTGTTGCAAAAAAAAAATGGCTTTATTTTCCAACAAATCCGAATTTTCTATTAAATGCAATGAAATATTTAACAGCATTGCTTTGAACAACGTTTCCCTTTGGTATATGTACAAAATAGCATGTCACTTCTTTTTATTCTGTTTTTTTTTTTACTGTTTTGATATTGTAACATTTTGAACATTTCGTAATACACAGGTTACAGAAGGGGTCTTAATAATGTACAATTTCTCATGCTAAATACTAGACCAACAGAGCTTTTTTTGATATCATAGAAACTTCATTAAGTTTCATTCGTTAAGTGATACTACACAATACATTTATACAATATGACAAAACAATCATTTTTATTCATTCGTAATGATAATTGATAAAAATGGACATTATATCGACCGCATTCTAATCCAAAATTGTGATCTTTCATAAATATATTTAAATTCGGAACTTTGTAAGTAA